TCCTCTTGGGAGGGGAAGTATTGAGGTGGATTGAGGTTTGAAAGCCCTTTGGGTGCCCCAGGACTTGCCCTCCTGAAGTCTGAGTTGTGCCCTTGGGGCAATTCCCTTTTTTACCCTACCCAAGCAAAGCTGGGACTGGATGAGGCTCAAGTGGTTTCACTGCTTAGGGGGGTTTGGGGACAGCTGTGGCACTGTCACACGCATTTTGGGTGTCACCACGGTGGTCTGTGTGCTCCTGGGGAGAGCTGTGGCACTGTCACACGCATTTTGGGTGTCACCACAGTGGTCTGTGTGCTCTTGGGACAGCTGTGGCACTGTCACACGCATTTTGGGTGTCACCATGGTGGTCTGTGTGCTCTTGGGGACAGCTGTGGCACTGTCACACGCATTTTGGGTGTCACGACGGTGGTCTGTGTGCTCCTGGGGACAGCTGTGGCACTGTCACACGCATTTTGGGGGTCACCATGGTGGTCTGTGTGCTCTTGGGGAGAGCTGTGGCACTGTCCCATGCATTTTGGGTGTCACCACGGTGGTCTGGGATGGCACTGCTGAGAGGGAACAGCCCAGCAGGGATGGCCACTGGCTCTGCCACTGACCTACCAGATACCCCTGGCAGTGTCACTTGCCCTCTCTGAATCTGGCTGTCTTCTCGTGGGTCTCCTTGGCTCTCTGGGGGCTCAGTGCCAGCCCAGCCCCAGCTGTGTGAGGGAGGCACCTGCCTTCAGGTGCTTCAATAATAGAAATCATTAATTTTCACTGCTAATGGAAGAAACGCTGCACTATGAAAAATGTGCGTTGGCTTGGAGGCAATTCAAAAGGCTGGTGGAGACGGGAGCCCCTAATTTGTTCCAAATTGGTTATTTCACTGGAATGGTGAGAAAGCATCAATCTGAGGAGCTTTTCTCCCTTTTCATTTCTGTCAGCCGTTCCTCAGCTGTAATGAATTGGACTTGGCTGCAATTTTTACAATTTAAACGGTGCCCAGAATAAAGGCTGAACTGATGGGGGGGCTCTGGTGCACTTCTGAGCTCTCCATCTCTCAGGGGACCCAGGGATGGGTGGGCAGGGGAGCCCAGATCAGGTTCAATGTTTGCCACCTCCCTTCTGCTGCCTCCACTCAGGATGAGCCCAAATCCCTCCTGAGCCCCTGTGGCAGAGCTGGTGGGGCCTTGGCTGCTTTGCCATGGCCTGGCAGCACTGCTGGCTGTGACACAGGGGACACTGAGCTGGCTGGGGTCTCTGCTAGGGGAGGCATCCCTAAATGCTGCCTTTTCAGATCATTACCTGGCAAATGGGGAGCATTGGGAATTAAAATCCAAAGGGAGCTGGGCTCAATGTTTGTGGACAAGGGAGGAAAAGATGCTTGATAGAGCAAGACTGAGATCCAGTTTTGCTCCTCAGCAGCTGTTTTTGATGGCAGTGCTGTGGGGTGAAGTTCCCTGTAGCTCCTGGGGAGAAAGATGCAGCCAAGCTGCCTCCCAGGGACCAGGTGCATGGACTGGAGGAAGCCCAGACAGCGAGATCACCCTGTCCCTGCTTCTGCTCCTTGACAAAAGGGCTTTGCCCTTCTCAGCTGCTGCTCAGAGGAGCCTCAGCCTGAGCTGGGGTCGCCGGCGGGGAGAGATGAGCATGTTCACCCCCCCTCCCCTGCCCAGCTCAGTAATCCTGTTGTGGCCATGTCCAGAGTTTGCAGGAATGTCATCTGAGTTTATTTCAAGGCTTGTTCCCTGCCAGCTGCAGTCACGCAGCTGAAGGTTGTGACAAAGCTGTGCAGGGGAGCGAGGCACGAGGCTGCATCCTGCAAGCTGGCAGTGCCTGTGGGCTGTGTGGAGGCCACCATGTCACCAAACTGGGGAGCTTCTTCTCCAGTAGCACCCCATGGTTCCCTACTTACAGCCCACTGCCCATCCAAGCCCTTCCACAAGAGTCTGAGCATGCTGGAGCCAGTCTTTGTGCCCACAGTGGTGCTGGAAGAGAAGGAACACCCCCCTGAGTACCCTGAGCTGTGCAGGAGAGCTGGGACAAAGCTGGGGTCCCCCAGTGTGTGTCCCATCCCCTTCTCTGCATGGGAACACCTTCTCCTCCCCACGTCCCTTCCAGTGTCTGCACCTCCTGCAGGCCCTGTCCCTGCCAGATCCGCCCGTCCAGGCACCAGCCCGGGGGCTGCAGGAGTATTTTTAATTTGGCTGAGCTGACACGGTGCCGGGTGCTCTCTCCCACACGAGACAGCGGCTCCTCGCAGCCTCCCCCCTCCAGCACTCGCGGCAGGGACCGAACTGAGCTGTCACCACCTGCGGGTGGGTGCGAGGGATGCAGCTCCCGTGAGTCCTCCCTCCCTCCCCTGCATGCTCCCCGTTCATTTTGGGGGCTGGCACGGCTGGGATTTGGGTGCAGAGGGTGAGCAGGGTGCTGGGTCTTTCCTGGTGGAGCAGGGATGGGCTCTTTGGGGTCAGCAGCTCTGGGAACACCAGCACCTCTGCTGCGGGAACAGCGTGCGTCATTTCCCCGAGCCTGACTGGCTTAGAGCAGGGATGGAAACAAAATCTCATAAATATCTTTGGACTCGGGGATTTAAACATTTTTTTGGGGGTTTGGTCTCTTCTGTTCAGTTTCTTATAGATGGAATAAGAAACCCTCAGGGAACCTGTCCATGGATGTGGGGCTGGAGTGCAGGAAAGGGTGCCTGGAGCATCCCAGTGGGAGCTGCCCGAGGTGTGGGAAGCCAGTGGAAACTGGGACTCAGATGGAAACTGTGGCTCATGGCTGCTGCCACCCTCGAGCCGTGGGGATGATGGATGTGCTGGTGCTCTGGGCACCTGCCCACCCAGCTCGGGAAAAACAGCAACAATTGGCTCCAGCCAAGGCTGCTGCTGCTGCTGCTGTGTGCAGTTAAACAGGAGTATCTCCACTCCAGTTCCTTTAGGAAGGACGTCTGACATCCGGCAGCTTTGTGAGGGCAGAGGGTCAGGGACATCCTGCAAATGCTGCCCAAAATTTGTGTTCAGTTGAGGCTTCCAGCAGGAATGGGTTTACAGGGGAGAAGGAGTCAGTGGTTTGAGCCTTGCCTCTTGCACAGGGCAGGCAGAACAAGGGTGTTTTCCTCTGGTCCCATGGATTTTACTGCAGGGGCTCCGTGGAGGGGTTGGGAAGTGGAGTTGGTTCCAACCATTTCTAATTTGGGGTCGCTGACCTTTGCTGTCCTGCTCTGGGTGCTGGGAATGGGACCAGGCGATGCTGCAGGCTCCTAAAAACTCATTAAAAAGGCTCAATCCTCTTTTCTCGTGGCATTAGCACAAGAACAAATCGGGTGTGTTTTCACCCCAGGAGCCGGCTCTGGTTTCACCACCTCCAGCTCTCATTAACCCTGGGCTGACACTTCGGCAAGAATGTCCCCAAAGCAGGAAGAGCCTCTTGCCCCAGGATATGTTGAGGAGCCTCAAGAGAGGAATTAACCGGGGGCCACCAGACCCCCCTGGTGCAGAGCCAGCTGGAGCCAGGTACAATCAGCTCCTAATCCAGGAAATTCCAGTGGGCCACGTCCCTCCTCATGGCCCAATTCCACACCAAGAGTCTGTGTGGGAGCATCCTTCAGCTCCCAGGCACAGGATATGTGCTGGGAAACCAGGAGTCAGGTTCCCATCAGGGGTCCCAAGGGACACTGGTGCCCCTTGGGATTTCAGTGTTCTCAGGAGCTTTGTTTGGGGAAAGCAAATGTGGCACAAAATTCTCTTTCTGGAAGTAGTCGAGGCTCTAAATTTCACCCTTTATTGCTAAAATAAAGCTTTTGGGATGTAGGGAACCCCTCTGCTAGTTAGAGAGCCCTGGGACAAGGGGCAGCGTTTCAGCCCCAGCCCTGCAGCTATGGACCAGGAGTGCAGCTAAGCAGGAACACCTTGTGGCATTCCCTAAAGGGCTTGGACTTGAATCCTGCCGAACCTCCGTGTCCACGGCTGGGTGCTGCTCGGCCCACAACTTGCAGAACACCTCCAAACCCCACAAACACCCATCCTGGCTGGCTGCAAACCCTCCTGCAGCTCTCCCTGTGCCCAGCTCTCAGCTGAGAGACCCAGGCTAGGATCCCCCTGATGGGCACCTGATGGGCACCACTCCTTGCACCTGGGGGGAAACGATCCCGGGCAGGTGAGCATGGGGCAGGCACAGGGCACAGCTCCATGGGCTCCCTGTCCCCAGGACTCACTGTCCCCACCACATCCAGTGTCCTCACCGCATCCAGTGTCCCCGTGGCCCGACCACCACATCCAGTGTCCTCACCATGTCCACTGTCCCTGTGGCCCGACCACCACGTCCAGTGTCCCCGTGGCCCAGCCGCCACCTCGTCCGCTGTCCCCATGGCCCAGCCAC